GGGGCAGGAGAATTGCCTGAACCCGGGAGGCGGAGGTTGCGGTGAGCCGAGATCGCACCATTGCACTCTAGCCTGGGTAACAAGAGCGAAACTCCAACCAAAAAAAAAAAAAAAAAAAAACAGCAGGGGGGGGGGAAAAAAAAAAAAAAAAAAAAAAACTGCCTGGGACTGGGTAATACATAAAGGAAAGAAATTTAATTGACTCACAGTTCAAGGCTGGGGAGGCCTCAGGAAACAATCACGGTATAACGGGAAGCAAACAGGTCTTTCTTCACATGGTGGCAGGAGGGAGAAGAATGAGTGCCCAGTGAAGGGGGAAGCCCCTTATAAAACCACCAGATCTCAAGAGAATTCACTATCATAAAAACAGGATGGGGAAACCACCCCAATTGCAGGTCAAGATAGCCAGGGGGAGACCTATGTTAATTCTAGCTAAATAATTATAAGCTCGATTGGCTCACAGTGCACTGAAGTTTATACACTGAACTGAACTATATTATTGGTTCAGCTACTTAGAAATCAAGTGGCAACAGGAGGCCTAAGGTAAAGACCATCTGAGAGCGCAGTAACACCAGGGAGCACCTCGGCGTGGTTGCAGAGCAGGAAATACTGTTCTGGTCCCACAAATGCCTTCAATGTGGAGACTGCCTGAGGGTTTCGTAAAGAGGGCTTGTGCAATGCTCTCTGAGAAGGGAGGTGACCTCTGCTCACAAGATCCGGGAGGGTCTTTGCAGATGGGAACTGGCAAGGAAGACAGAAACCTTGCAGGGCAGAGATCATGGAACACCTCAGGCTCTGCCTAGGTTCTCAGAATATGGAGTGATTTTAATTGCTCCATGTCCTCAATGCTTGGGAGATAAAAGCCCCTTGGTGCATTGGGTGTGGTCAGACCAAGTGGCTCCTAATCCGATATACTTCGGATATAGCTGCATGCTCATAACAATCCGTGATAGAATACTAGTTTAGCATGCCTTAGAAGGATCTCAAGTGCTTTCCACCCGGCTATCTTACTACTCCTTTACCCTTCTTTTCCACTCCCATAAGATCAATGAGATTATGCACATAATACAAGTGTTTGGAGTTCAGAGCTTGGGGCCAATGCAGTTGCCAGGCTTGCATTGGTCTCCTGGACCCATGCTGTAACTTCTACTCTTTTGTCTCTGTCTTTATTTCCTTTTCTCAGTCCCTCGTCACTGCCAGGATTAAGGGCACCCACGTAGGGGGTCAGGCTGGTCCCCAACACCCCATGATTCAATTATCTCCACCTGGTACCTCCCATGACATAAGAGGATTATGGGAATTACAATTCAAGATGAGATTTGGGTGGGGACACAGCCAACCTAGGTCAGGAAGTGTAGGACACCTGAAGTACAATACCATCGAGGCTGTTTTGACCTAAGGACAGGATTTACAGTATGTGTTCTCACATAATTTGAAATCCTAGAGGCCTTCCAGGAACAGGGGTTAATCAGAAGCCAACATGGCACATTAGTACCCAAGATGGAGTTTCTTTAGCTTCCAGATTCCACCCATCAATCCAGCTTGAGTCTCACGTGCCATCCTCTTTGGAGGAGGTCACTGAGGTTTTAGAGAGGGTGGTTTGATATAGTATAGCTTCAGCAGCAGTGCCCTGGCAGTGGAAAACCTATTGGGCCCAGAGAGATTCCAAATGAGGGAGATTCACAAGCTTTGTTGAATTATCTCTAGTCTTGAGAGTACCTTGACTTTGGTTTTCTCAGAAGTAAAACAAGAGATACATAGTATTAATAATATGAATAGTAGAAATATAATGCATGTGCCGGGTGCGGTGGCTCAAGCCTGTAATCCCAGCACTTTGGGAGGCCGAGGCGGGTGGATCACAAGGTCAAGAGATCGAGACCATCCTGGTCAACATGGTGAAACCCAGTC